ATCAGTGAATCCATGCTCGAGCTGCAGAGTGCGTGGGATAGTGAAGAGAGAGAAAGCTCAAACTTGGCGCTCAGACGCGCGAGCGCGAGCAGAGTTTCGAAAGCAAATTCATATATATGTTACATGTAGAGAGAACTGGTACTGGTATACGTACGGGAAAGGAAGCAATGGCCCCGAGGGTGCACAAGGATCAGTGTGCAGAGAGAGAAAGAGAGAGAGAGAGAGATGGAGTCTGATGCAAGCCTTGCAAGATTCCCCGGTGGGCCGAGAACGAGAGAACTCGCCTCGCCTTGACTCGACTCGCTCGACTCGCGAGTGCTAGTATATATAATTGCACATAAATGCGATTGGAAAGGAAAGTAATTCGCGCTCGCACTGCAAGTTCTATCTCACTCGCCTTTACCCCGAGAAACTATGAAATATTGCTTTTGCTTGTACAAGTCTGTACTGCCACCGCCGCCGTTGCCGCCGCTGCTGCTGTACAGTAACTTCGTAACGATGTTTATCCACTTATCTCTCTCTCTCTCTCTCTCTCTCTCTCTCTCTCTCTCTCTAGCCAAGCAAGAGCTATTCTTGTGTGTATATGATTTTCTCCGCCAGGAATTAAATAATGACTCTGCTGCTGCAGCGGGACCGATATATACCTTTGCTATGTCTACCCAGCCCCTAGGACGACCTAGCTCCCCGCGCCCTGACGCCGTACCGCAGTTACACACAGTACGCGCGGTGAAATTACAGAAGCTTTTAGCTATGCAAACTCGAGCTTTTGCGAGCGCGCACGTTATCGGTAGCATATTTTTATACTCTCGCCCGCTTTTTACCATAGTTTTCCGCGCCGCGCATTTTCTAGCTTATGATTTAGGTGAAAAATTTTTTCATCAAAGCTCTCCGAGTTATATACGCCTCGTGACCGAGATGTTATACGTACACCAAGACCCGGCTCTGTATAACGAACGAGCTTGCATGCACACGTGACGTATAATTTATTTTTTACCATATGTATCATCCGCCACGACTGCTGCTGCTGCTGCTACTACTGCTACTGCATACTGCTAAGCGCTAATACGTACTTGGAAAAAACCCGATTTTTCACCTCTGCTTTACTCTCGAAATTCACTTGAAAATGTGGGACCAATTTTCAAGTGATTGATAAATTGAGCGCATCGAAACGAGGTGTATAGCGCATATGGTATGTGTGTATGGACTGGACTCTTCAATCAGTGCAGCTAACGATAATTAGTGGTTTGAGCCAAGGCAAAAGGGAGCTAAAGATAACGGAAATTCTATAAAACAAGAGATAGCAATGAAATTTGTTTCCAACGCATCCAGCCGATTCGTCCAAACGCGCGCACACACGCACACACCGAACCGTATACATAGTTAATGCCTTCGGGCCGTTGCGTTTACACACCGATAACTATACGCGTACAAATGCATGCACACACAGACACACACAGACACACACAGACCCACAGAAAGCCAACGCTACAGCAGCAGATAAAAGTAATTAAGTCCTGAATACTCTACGTGTAAGCACACTGCAAAATCGAATGGTCGCGCAAGCCTCATTTCCGGCGATACTTGCCTAACTAAAAAGCATCTGCACGTACTGCGCTTCCAATTCGCGTCAAGCTACGTACAATGCATATTGTATATATGTGCACGGCTCCAGCTTCTGTTGTTTTCTAGTGAATGTTATACGCATGTGTATATGTACGTGTATTTAGGTGCAAGCTAGGGGGAAAGAAAAAATGGGTAACGTGGAAAAAATCCCTCGTATAAACGACAATTTGCTAGACTGCTGTACGCGGCAGAGTCGAGTCGTGAGATTTTCTCCGCACGCTTGACCACCGGTACGGCGTACTTTTTCAACTTTTTCGATTTCGACTTTTTCAAGCGTGAAAAAAATGGAAAGAAGCGCGTTACAACTGTAGCTAGCTAGCTAGCTGTCTGAGCGTGTGTGTATTTTTTGGGACTTTCGAAGGTTAAAAAAGACTCGATACATAGAGAGAAAAACACATTTACCGCTGTGTATTGCGATAGATGGATCGAGATTGCTTATTTGCTCAAGAGTGCCGCGCGCGACTCTGTAAAGCATTTTAGAAAAAAAATACTCAAAGCGCAGATCATGCCTGCAAAGAGTAACGAATAAAAGAAGCGACAAGCAGTCCATAAAATGCCGAGACTAAGAAACTTTCTAGAGGAGAATAAAAAAACCTGGTGCAAGAGAGAAAGAGAGAATCCGCGTGTTTTATGCATGATTGCAAGGTGAAACACGCAAGTCCGGAAAAGTGTGGGCTCAGCTCAGCGCGCGAAACACGAATTCAGGGTAACACGGGGAGTACTACTGCCGGGGTGAGAGAGAGAAAAAAAAAGAGGTGGAGGCAGGGATAGAATCCCGTATAGACAGGTATATCGCGCAGAGTGAAAGATTGTCGGAAATAAAGAAACAAGAAGTGCCGATCGAACGCGCGCGCACGAGCGCGGGAGGCTGTACCGCTGCCATTGCGCGCGCCTGGGCTAAAGCGTATCCGCAAAGTTGGTTTCAATGCTTTCTCTCGCTCTCTGCTGCTTTCTCACTCGTTGCCGCGCTGTTTCTCTCTCTTTCGAACTTCTCTCGTGCATTCCAATCCGTTGAAGCTTTTTAAAAGCAGTAAGAAAGCTTGAGGTTGAATACCTAAGCTATAAAATCGTTACTGTTCAGATCTCTGGGATATCGATTTTCATTTTGTTAGAAAAAAAAGACCACCAACCCGACAGTCATTTTAAGTACGTATATCACTAGACACACACACACACACACACACACACACACACACACACACACACACACACACACGACCTATCCCGAAAGAATGGAAAATTTAAAATGTACATTCGTAAACATTGCGCGAATCTAACTGGAAGGATTAGAAAGGACAGAAAAAAAATAGTGACAGGAGAACTGATCTTACGCGAAATTAATCGAGAGATAAAAAACTAAATCTGTCAAGAATTAAAAGCCAGAAAAAGACTTTATACATATAGGTTTTTTATCTAAAACAATAAATGGTACCTGAATTTCTGCATTCAATCACTCTGGTGGAAATGCTCATTATTTTATCGCTAGTTTTATTTCAACGAAAAAATTTCTCAACCATCATAAATTCTTTGGAATCCGATATATTATGAACAAAAGTACAAAACTTTTTTTCAATATTTTATGTCCCTTTAATGCTCCACACTTTTTGCTCCATTCAATGATCATTTTTGACTAGATCAAAGTTGTGTAAATTACTATTTAAATACACTTTCAATAGTTGGTTTAAATTTTCTTAATTTTATAATGTAAAAATGTAGTATACTGAACATGAAATAGGGTAGTCACACCAATCAATGACCGGGTACCAGTGAATGACCATTTTGGAATATATCATATGAAAAACAATTAAAAATACATTTGTATGGACGTTATTCAATTCTTCAGTGAATGATGCATCTTGTTTTCTATGTTCGAAAATAATTTAACAAGGAAAAACAATAATTATTGCACATCCAAAAGTGGTCATTTACTGGTTGAAAGCGGCCAATCACTGGTATAAGTACCCTATGTCAAAATGATACAGATGGCCAAGCGGGAGAAGAATTAACAAGGACTTCATTCTTCGACAGCGAGAATATCGATTACTCTCTCATCTCGCCCGGACATACCCTCACATAAGGCAACATCGTCGCCGGAAGAAGTTTAACTTATTGTGACCACGACGTGATTATGTTGATCATGATTGTGCTTTGACTTAGAAACTCATTTTGACTTTGCCACTTGCAGATTTACAAGTAAAGGTACTTGCCATCATTGAAACATTGAAACCTTCATGTTTTGGTCATTTCAAATGCGAGCTTTTTTATAACACTCTTACTTGAAAATCTCAACTTTGCCGTTAGATTTAGGCTCTTGTGCTATAAAGTATGCAACTCGCCTTCGACTCATGCTGCAAACCCTCGTTTTGCAAAAAAAACATATCCACACCCGTTACATCATTTACTAGTATTTTGAAACATCGCAAATGGTCATATTCAAGCCATTAGGCCATTACAAAGCATTTTTACCAGGGCTCAAGGTAGAACTACGGGCAGAATGAACGTCATTAAAGTGCAGAAAAAAACACGAGAATTAAAAATTGATACTTATTTTGAAAAATTTAAATCACAGAATAAAGCTCGAGTGCAACTTCGGTCACTTATTCGTAAGCTGGTAGATAAAAGTATCGGATAAAAAACACAATGGCTCGGAAAACATCAGATTTGATAATGCCTTTCATATACCTGCATGGCTTTGTGAAATGTGAAATTGGCATAAAAGTAGACTGAGAAGCGAGCGAGCGTGCCTTCTTTTACAAATCCACTGAAACATGTACGAGTTTAACAAGTCAAGTGGAGGATGCGAACAAAGCTCGTACTCGAAATTTGTTATTTTAATTCCAAAAGTTACGATTTCTCCATGCCGTTATTTTTACTGTAAGCGAGCGCGCATGACCGGCCCTCTTCCCACCCTTCTCTCTCTCTCTCTTTCCCTCTCTCGAACACATAACGAATAAATTAGAAATAAATTCAACCACCTCCTTCTCCAAACAAGGTAACAAAAAATAAAATAAGAAAATGGTGCAGTATATACTGAGTTTGCTTTATTTTAGTTATTTTTATCGCATGTATTCTTTGTTATTTTTTATTCACCTTATTTCCTCCTCTTTTTTTCGTTATCACATAAGCCTGTAAAAGAGGACGTTACGCATTGTATATTTTTAATACAAAACAGCGTGTAATCTCGATGCGTTTTTGAGCTTCGTAAATTTGTATACGTGAAAAATTGCTTTGAACTACCAAGCTCGAGCAACTCCGAGATTATTCATTTATAAAATTTCTCTCGCTGGCAACTATCTACGTGACTTATTCTTTATTTTCGTCCGTATTTTTTCAACTTGAATCAAACCATTTAACAAGCTAGATTAAATTAATGCTCATTATCTTATTCTAATAAACTTGGTCCTCACAGGGTGCATCGGACGCAAAATTATGTCTAAACCCAATTTCAAATCTGCTGTTCGATCGATTGGCTCCAATTTAAAATTGTACAATAATCGGCCTATTAGCGATTTTAGTTCCATGAGCGCGAATTTTTGTCCTAAAACATTAAATTATTCGTTTTAACTGAAGCCATCGTATCCCGATATTTTTTTTACAATTATTACCTATGCAATTACGAGGACCGGCGCTGAAAGGTATGTAAGAATACGGATGTCGGGTGGAAATAAGCTCGGGAAGAAATCTGTCGGGATCGAATTTCGAAGGTTCCGGCCACAAATTTGGATCCCTGTGAATTCGATAGAGCTGGAAAAAGACTTCGGTTTCGGCAGGTATCAGGTATTCTTCTACAAAAATCATAAAGTACATTGATATTTGTAATCGAATAACTCTTATCGATGCACAAGATTGCTTACTCAATTGCAAATCTTCCCTCAAGTATCGTGACATGATCGATACTGGTGGAAAAAGGCGCATTGATTCCTTAATGCAACGTTCGAGGTAAGTCAGCTCTTGAAGCTCGGCAGCTCCAAGATTGCCATTTGACTTATCTAATACAGCCGTCACCTCTTCTCTTGCTCTTTCCTTGAAAAAATCGACTGTTGTATAACTTGCATTGTATTATCCTTCGTTATTCGAATTTTTTTACCTGTGCGTCTTCGTTCTCTGCCAATAATAATATGGCATAAGTCATCGCCATGCCTGTCGTATCGTGACCCTGTGGGAATCGAGCGCAGAGAAAAATATATAAAATACGACTGTCGTGCATTTTTATATAGACATTTCTCGAGATTTTTCTCGAATGCTTACTTCGAACATAAATGTGTCTACTTCTTCCTGAATGCCTCGATCATCTATCAAATTATCCATTTGAGCCGACAACAACAAATCCAGCATAGCCAATCTTTTCTTTTTCCCGCTATAAACCTCGTCACGGTCTACATCGACGTCCTCGTTCAGAGTCTTCAAGAACTTATACTGCGTATTTTTATGATACTCTTTCCTCTCTCTCAGAACCTGTTAAGATTTTTAAAATATAGCATGAATCACCATAATGGGTGCGGAATTATATAGGCTAGTTGCAAACCTTGTTCGAAAATTGGTGGAGCGTGGCTAAAGTTCGATCTTGCAGGCTTTGCAGCCACCACATACATTTCATTACCCGGTCTGTGATGTATGGCCTCAATATTCTAAAAGAATGTGTTATAGTCAAGAAAACTAATCGATAAAAAACTTCTATATAGTGTGTTTTAATTCTAACTGCATCTACCTGTACACAACAATATTACCCATTGTATGAACGGCTTTCTTGTATTTCAGGGCACCTTCGTCTTTAACGTCCTCAAGACTCACTCCCATTGCCGATTCTATCGAACGTCAAGAGATGCAATTAAATTTTTCACTCCATTCGACGAGCATAAATTAAAAATTCATACCGCAAATGATGTTCAATGTGTACTTGGAGCAAAGCGGGCTCAATGTTTGAATAGTTTCATCGCCCTCCTGTTTGAGTGCCTGCACGAACTTTTCGCTATTTTCATTGGTAATTTCATTGTACTTTTTTAGTATGTTAAAGTGAAAAGCCGGCGTTAATATTCTGCGACGCTGACGCCATTTATCCCCTGTCAAATGCGAAGGACACGCATAAAAGCATAATTTTCCAATAAAATTATTATTACGCTAATGCGTAAGTGCGAAACTTTACCCGTGGCGGTCAAAAGTCCAGTTTCCAGCCAGCCGTGCAATTTTTCGTAAGAAGATCCTTTTTCAATGTGTTTCTGGCTCGACAGCACGGTCTGTGTGTGAAATTTGATTTATGATCAAATGAATGCATTCATTTTTTAATTTTTTTTTTTTTTTTTCAGAACACACACATACCTCAACGTCATCAACATCGCTAATTCCGACCAAAGCGTAGGAACCGAGCTTCAATTTAGCGGTTGGCCAGTATTTAATAGTCTCGTTATTCAGCACATCCCATATTTTGTCTACAATAAACCCATGCGCAATTTTTTAAATGGACTCATCCACTCTCCTCTTTGATGATCTTTTTTTAAACGAAAAACTCAATTACCTGCCGGTGTTAATCCCAACAAAAGATTACCAATAACCGGTAGGCCCTTTGGCCCTGGTATCCTATTAATTAGAGCTGATCTCGTGCGATTGAAAAAGCCGAAATAATAAAAGTAGTACAATGCACCAAGCACAAAGAGCACAAAAAGCAAAACCATGATAATAGTTCAAGTATTTTAAATTTCACTGAATTTACGCTGAGAACAGAATAAAAAAAAGGTAGAGAAAAAAATTAGCAACTCATTATTGAAGTACAAACAAGAAATGCAATTGAAGCAAGTGCCATTATCAGAGACCACAAAAGAGTGTAAATGAAAAGATGTCTTGTTTACATTCCTGCTTGGCATGATAATCAAAGATGCTGATAAAGAGGATCGATCGATAATTCTCATCAATCTTGATTCTTATAATCTAGTAAGATCACGCGATATTAAAATTAAAGACTCTCGATAATCAAAAAAGATCTGCAAAGATGTCTGTAACGCGCGGAAAACGTTTCTCATACGTATACTCGAAACGATCATTTAGTTTGCATTTTACTACTGAATCCTTCCAGTTAGATCGCTGCATAAAGCGCCTCGACGCATGGAACGAATCGATTGTCTTATATATACACGAGAGTGTCCAAGGCATATAAATCCAGCGTAAGAGTCGAGTATTATACACGTGTGCTGTACATGACGGAACCCGAGTAACGATCATCATCATTTCAGACCTTGGGAATTGCTGACTTGCTGCATGCGCGATGCGCCGCGATCCCATGCATATGCATGCTATATCCTAGCTACACGACAGGTATATGAGGCGTTTCACACCAAAAGTCCTAGCGTGTCGGCGCGCGGCGCAAATAGGCGAAATCACTCAGTTTCCATCTCGCTTAAAAAATACCAAAACAGAACTAGAAGAAAAAACCGATACACCATTTCGATAGGAAATTTTCTCAGCTTTTGATTGAGACTATTTAGAAAAATCTTAAAAATGCCGTTTTTGAGCTATTCGTATTTTAAAGTTTATGTCAAGTTTTTCCGGTGAAAATGGAAAATTTCGGAAAATCTGACCACACCATCAGAAAGCTGGGGAAATTTCCTATCGAATTAGTGTGTCGGTTTTTTCTTCTAGGTCTGTTTTGGTACTTTTTAAGCGAGATGGAAACTGAGTGATTTCGCTTATTTGCGCCGCACGCCGACACGCTAGGACTTTTGGTGGGAAACGCCTCATATATACTTGAAGAGCGAGAGGTGAGTATTGGGCCTGTAGGCCAATTGCATGATTTGCATGGTTGCCACGCATGAACGAGTAGTAGTCAGTGGATGTGTGTGTGGGCGCGCTCAGCCTTATCTAAACGTAACACACACAAGTTATGCCTATGCCTCGTGTCCGCTCTATTGGTCGATAATTCGTAATTCACTCATGTATACGGGCGTATATACGAGTAGCGAGTAGTGATGCGCGACACATTTCTGTGACCTTTCGTATGTACGCGCAACAACAGCTTCCATAATAACGGAGATTTGAGTCTGAAGCTCGACAGTTTGTAATACTGCATAAGTCAAGTGGCTAAGCAACGACGACCCATCAATCAGACTGTTGTTGGACACTATGCATGCGGATGATTTTTGAAAAACTCGGCAAACAATGGCGAGCAAGTAATCGATTACCTTCAAGCTCTCGCTTCATTAATTAAGTCAATCGCAAAAATCGTATAATTCCGTTCCCTATTCGTACCTATATAGTAAACCTTAACAAATTCCCTTGGCGCTGAAGGGAGGAAAAGAGGATTTTGTCCAAATAAACGCATCTTACATCAGCTGGCTATATACGCGTGTGCGTGTCGTAACTCGGCTACTGAGAAGGAGGGTTGAGCTCCTGGCACCGAGCTAACTCCTCTCCAAGTCGTCGACGAAATAGAGAGTGAGTGAGAGAGAGAGAGAGAGAGAGAGAGAGAGAAAAAAGGAGAAGAGTGTGAGAAAAGCCAAGCTCGAAGGCGTGAAAGAGCTTTACGAAACTATTTGTAATTACGTTTTCTGTCTGGCCTCCATCCCAACAGCGGCAGCTCGCTGTGCGTTATTCTATATACGTATATAGTGTGTATATTGTATATAGATAGTTTCTAGCCTGCCTGCAAGCCAACTGTAACTTTGGACCTATTACAAAAAATTCCCAGCGGCACCGGCGGCAGCTAGCTCTCTCGCCTCTCTTATAGAGCAGCAACAGCTTGTATTTAGTTCCTCCGAGTCTGAGTCAGTGAGTATGTGTGCGAGTGCATGTGTGTGTGTAGGTATGTATTGCGGCAGATAGATAGCTGAACACAACGTACACTGCAGTCTCGAGCGAGTACACTTTCTTGCGGTTTTCTCCGAGTCGAGACGAGATTGCAAGCTCTCTTTCCCTTCTGTACCTTGATGAAAGCTTACGTTCTCGATCTTTCTCCCGCCCTCTCTATCTTTTTCTCTCTTGGTGTACTGCTTATAAATTGGATTTTTGGCGCGCTTTTTGAAAAGTTTTTTTCCGTGTTTATAATGAATTGCCAGGAAGTCGAGCGCATCGAAATGAATAATTGACAAAACGTATAGTTCGGTCACGGCCACTTCAGCGGTATATGGCTATACGTTGCGGCGACCACCGACAAAAACAATGACAACAACAAAGATAACAATAACGATAACAATAATGATAATGAACGATGGACAAAGTTTTATCAACGCGATCGCGATGAGATAAACTTTTTAGCCAAAAACTATAACCGACCGAGGCGATGCGGCTGCCGCAGGTTAGCCGCAGCTCCTGTGTGACCATAATATCCGTTTCAACATTATGATTAACATAGTGCTTTGTATGCGCTCAAAGCAGCAGCGGCTATGGGGCTAGAAGATATTAACCATCGTACTAATTTTGTGCTCACTCGCAAAAGTTTTCTGCGCTGTGGCAAAATTATCCGTGGCACACGGCTCATGGACCGTGTACAGTAGACCTCCGTCTTTTTCTTCGTAACGAGCAGTACCTGATACGTCCGAGACAAATTCAGAGACAGGTATTACATCAATTATAAACTTTTTGTGTGATTGCAATTTAATTTTTAAACGTGATAAGGTGTGATTATGTACCGCTCGCGTTGTCTACGTAAAACATCTTTTAATCATTCGACTGAAAATCCGCAGCATCAGCAGCAGCAGCAGCAGACATTCGTTGATGCATTAATAGAGCTGCAGTCTTGGCGAATCTCTTTTGCCTCGTCGGGCTGCGGTTAGGTTATATACAGAAGAAATCAAAAGGGAAAGAGAGATGTTGTACGTATGCGAGGCTCAGTATTACGCGTGTCTATACATACACACACATCAGGCAAAGTAAAACAGCCGCTATGCGCGTTAACCCTAAAAAGACATAGAACTGCAAGGATCTAACAATCTGCGGGCTCGAAGCTTTCTCCTATACACATTTACAACACATATAAAACGCATAGGTATGAGCTTTAACGTTGTGTCTATGTGTGTGTGTATATACTTTTCACACTGTGCACGTAATCTCGCGAGACTCGCAGTCGTTAACGAGGATCCTACGCCACTGCTGCTAGCTGCTAGCTGCAGCCAACGCCGCATACCACGGTGGTTCTTTCCAGTCGAAAAGCCAGAGAAACCACCAGCGGCGTTGTTCTAGTTTACACACACCCTTATCTTTACCTCTTTTCTCTCTCTTCTTCTTCTTCACATTCTTTTTTTCTATTATACATTCTGTCCACGTCTACTTTTATCTTGATTTTAACTAATACCTCAGCTCTTACCCCATAGAGGCGAGTCTATTGACAAAGCGCGCGACAGCTCGTAAATTCGCTGCACACGCGTCATGTTTACTTTGTACATAAAAAAACTCGTCGATAGACGTGTCGTGTGGCTTGATCGCCTGTCTAATCGCTCTTTCTCTTTCTCTCTCCCTATCTTCACGTTGTAGTACCGCGACTTTATAACTGATCGCTGCTGTTAATGCCCCTAATTGGGACGAGAGGAGACAACGCATCGGGACACGTTCGCGCGTACGATATATAATACTACTATAAGAAGATAAAAGCCAGCTGACATTGTAATGTATATCGCGCAACTTTGCAGCTCCTCCTCCTCTGTGCATGTATATATAGAGACTGAGAGAGAGAGAGAGACTTGGTGGCGTGGAGCAGCGTACGAATGAATAACGAGCATTTCGCAAGTTTCATTAGGAAAAAGCAGTGGCAGTGCCCCAGTGAGCCATGCGCACACTACACTACACTGCACTACTGCTGCTGCTGCTGCTGCTAGTGCTGCAGTGACGTCTTTAAAAAAAAAGAAAGAAAGAAAGAAAAAAAGACGATAGATAAAAGTGAGAAAAGCAAAGTGCAATTACTCCAGAGTGTCAAAGACATACTCACACTAACACATACATGCACCAAGTATACACGTACACTCATACACTCGCTTATAGACCGCGAAAGGGAATAATGAAAGCTTACCAAGAGTGATCGGCTGTGTGCAGCGTGCGGTTATCGTATAACGTTCTTTTTTCCTTCTCAGCTCCCTCTCTCTATGACTCTCGCGACTTGTTTTTCTTAGGTCACTTATTTCTTTCGCTCGATCTTTGACGTTTCACCCATCGCCTTCTCCTCCCCCCTCCCTCTTCGGCTCGACTTAATTGCTTTTTAAATTAACCTGCACCGCGGCGACGATGGCGGTGGCGAAGACGAGGGACATATATAGTCCTACTATATATATTGGACTATATATTTATACGTATAGATGCTCTATACGCGGTATACAACAAACATATCGCATTAACATATCAAACGGGTCTTTGTTTCGAAACTAAATTGAAGCTGCTGTTGCTGAGAACTTGGAGGAGCTCATTGTAAGATGCGCGCACGCGAGCGCGAACAATAATTTTCTTTTTCGCCAATTGCCGCGTGCTGCAGCTGCCTCACGCGTAATATATATAATATAGGCTAGTGTGCGTGCGGTGCGGCGCGCACAAGGTGTTGCTCCCTACAGGCACCAGCAGCAGACGGTACTAAATTTCTCAAACAATCTAGCGTATATAGCGGTACAAACACGCGTACTCATACGTACACAATCGTAGAATCCTGACGTCTCCCTCATTTCCGCTCAACACATGCGCGCCAGCACACATATATATATAC